GGTAACATTAATTTTTTTACTTTTAAAATGTATACACAATGTTTCCTTGATGTGTTTGGTTGTGAGCACTACTATGATACAATTACTCTTCTTTTAAGGTAAGAGAAATCATGTTTCATTTGCTGGCAGTGGCCACTCTCAGGTTATGTATTTAGTCACTTTTTCATTTTTAAGACATATATATTTAATCTTTTCCACCCCAAGCTGCTGCAGAGTTGCAGGAAAATGTGTATGTCTTCCATATCACAAAGCAAAATATCTGTTCAGTTACTAATGGAAACAGACACACCGTGGTTTTGGTTTGTAGCTTGTAGCCTGTTTGCCCCATCACTTTATAAGTTAATATTCTTTTATATTGTCCTCAGATGGCTGATTGCATCCTTGAAGATGCAGTAGGAATTTGCAGGCCCCTGAAACCTTCTAATAAGTTTGCAATGTTTAATAATACTTGTTTTATAAAACTCAAAAGATAATGAGATCGTATCTTTCTTTTAACTGTTCAGAAAAGCTTTTGTTATTGCTAATTTCACCTTCTTGATTTGCTAGAGGTGATAACATCAAAATATTCAAGTGTATCTTAGGAGTCATGGAATAATTCGTAACTATAAACCGACTGAGAACATTTCTGAGCCTCCTGAATAGAGCTCCTGCTCAGTGTTGGCTTGGCTTCATAAAGTAGGATTGTTTTGGGAGGGGAAAAAAATACTCATAATCACCAAGAACTGAAATATAAAGATGAACTTCAGAAAAACTGTGAAGTGGACAGTCTGGTTGAGGCTTGAAATGAGGGTTGTGAGCAGTGACTGTGCCGTGGCTGTTCCCCAAGAACCATCTGTCCCCACTGAGCCGAGCTGGTTGCTGGTGTCTGTGGTCTGGAGGACTCTGCTCACAAGGCAGGGCTGTGTGGTGGCCACGCAGGAGCTGCTCCGCCACATCGAGAGCATTCCCCAGCCTGCCAAGGGAGGATGAAGGTTTCACCTTCACTCAGTTGTTACCGCTGTCAACACAGGCTGGTTTGAAACTGGTCACCCATGGGGAAGAGTTTTCTGATTCATGACTAACCCTTGAAGCCACACGGTGTATCTCTTTCTCTCATCTGTAGGATTTAATTGTAACCTCAGATAACATTTAGCAGGCGCTTTTGTTTGTGTCTTTCAGCCAAAAACAAACAATATCTTATTCCACTGACTTTTGACTTGTTCAGTCTTTAATCCATTTGTTTGGCTATTACTCCAGTGCTTTTTTTTTTAGCATTAAGGATAAAATTAAATTTATGGCATTTTCTTTGTGTTGCTTTCCTTTTTTTTTGTTTTTTTGAGAGTATCACCAAGAGGAGGGATCTTACCTCTAACCCATGAAACACAGAGGGTTGTGCAGTAGTACCAGGGTTTATGTAAACAGCAGGAAGCAGTATGAGGAGAGAATGGATGACACTCGCTCCAGAGGTGTCTGTGTTGGAGGCTGTGGTGAGTTTTTGGTACGAGAGGTGAAGGATGCAGACGTGCCAGGCTGTCCAGCATAGAGTGCTGTGATCATACATGTGTACTGTTAATTCATCAGCGGCGTAGCTGAAGGTGAGACAGGTGGGATGGATTGGTGTGGATGATATCACAGCGATCCCCTTGGCCGTCCTTTGTGTCTTACCCATACATGCAGCTTGTTTCTCTTTGGAAGTCTGTCTTCCTCTTTAAAAACCTTTGTAATCGAGGAGCTTTAGAAGCTGGGTGTCCTTCTTTGCAAATGGTCACAGTGAATGTTCATCCTCCTCAGTTTATTTCTGAGTTGTGCTTATATCTAAGATGTGGGAATGAATTGAATGTGCCATCCAAGCTTGTCTGTTCTCAGAACTCATTTCCACAATATATTATCCTAATGGAAACTTCCCTGTTTTCTGATAGTCTCTGTTTCTTCCTACTTCTACTTCTCTGGCCTCTTCAGTTTTTCTCCACACACAGCCTTGTTAATATTACAACAGGAGGTTTTTTTTTCTGCTCCTTTGTAACATCTCTTAGAAACCATCTTCCTGTGGTTTTCTACCTTGTCAATTCTCCATCTTTTTTTGTCTAATCTTGCCCACAGTGTTACAAGTCCCTGGGATGCACCTCGTGGTGCTCGTGTCTTTGCAGTTTCAATATTGCGCACACATTCCTCAAGCAAGTGGAAACTATTTTGGGATGCAGTGTGGCTGGAAAATACTATACAGCTGAATGGCCAAAATATATCTTATGAGGAGGTGACTCCTCTGTCAGGGCTGTGTCGTGTAGCTGGCAGAGGGGCTGAGAGTGGGATCCTGCATGTGGGAGCACGTGAACTGACGGAGATGTAGGGATTCCCTGGGGCTGTGTGCCTCGCTCAACGCTGTCCAACAGCAAAGGGATGGTACCTGCAGGCATCGTCCTTACCCATCTCTGAGCTATGCCTGGAAATACCCAGCTAGGGGTAGGAACTGGGCTTCCACAAACTTTAGAGTTAATGACTTTGTTGCTTGGTCTCTGGTTTATTTTTATTTTCCCAACCTTGATGGATTTTAATGCTTTGTTATTACAGGGTTTTGTTACTGAGAATTGTGTTATAAAAAGCAGTATTTTCAGTCTTGTTGTTAGCAGTACATACATCTTGAAGGACCCTAGTGTTCAGTTAATTATAAATGTAACTAGGGAATTAAATACATTATCTGCAGAACCAGAGGTTGTCTCAGATACTTCAGGGAACACTTTCAGATTCTTCCTCCATCAGCTCTTCAACACTGCAGGATCAAAACTACATTCATATTTGTCAATCTTTCTGTTGAGGGTTTGTCTTGTCTGGAACACCATTTGTTGGAGCACTGGCTCAAGCCAGTGATAGATCCTTTCACATTTCTCCCAAAAATATTAAGAGTACGACAGAGGAAGAGTAGAGGTTATTAACACAAAGACCCTTGACGTGGAAGGTAGTGGTGAGGACTCTTCAATGTTCTGCTGATATCTGGCTGTTTCTGACCTGTCTCCTGCCATCACTCGGTTGTGTGGCCATGGACAAGTCATTTCAATCCTTTGAGCTTTGGTTTGTTCATCTCTAAAACCGACAGTGAAGCTGAATTGTGACACACATTGGCCCTGTGTTTCAGTGCCTGTCCAATAAGTTGGCTTTGGGGATCTAGCAACAGATTTGCTTCTTTCCCCAACCATGTCAATCTTTGATTACCTAGTGGAAGCAGTAACCCAAACTTCCCTGACCTTGGATCTTTTTTCCTTCCCAAAGACTAGGATCAGGGGGATAATTTATTTTTCTAGTAGTTTGCTCTTCATACAGACTGATGTATTTCATATGAGGTGGGGAACTACTTCAGCTGTGAAGTTTTGATAGTGCTGATATATGTAGTTGCCACACTACCCTTACATGAAAAAAATTCCTCTCTAGTTGGTTGTTCTTGCTGTGGAAGGAATAAACAGACTGGATCGTTGTGAGTGACTCTGTAACTGAATTTATACTAACTGGAGCAGGGGAGATGCAATAACACCGAGAACTGCCAGAGCGATGAGCCACCTGCTTTTTTATGTGCATCACATCTATCATGTGGAATCAGACCTGTAAATTGACTGAGCACTGGAACGGGTTGCCCAGAGGGGTTGTGGTGTCTCCATCCTGGGAGATATTGAAGAGCCATCTGGACGTAGTTCTGGGCAGCTGGCTCTAAGTGGCTCTGCTTGAGCAGGGGAGTTGGACCAGATGACCTCCAGAGATCCCTTCCAACCTCAACCGTTCTGTGATTCTGAAATTCAGAAAAATATATCCAGAATGATGAGTTTGTGTTTCCAGGGAGAGAATTCTTGTGCTGATTGCTTTGCCTTCCTGTCTCTCTCCTACCAGTATGCCCTTAAATGAAAGCCGTGGTTCTGCCGTCTGCTGTGGCTCAAGGACTTCTCAGACAAAGCTTTGCAGGCCTTTATGGTCTAGAGGTTGTTGTGGAGGAGAGTGCTCGTGGCTGCTAGCTGGAGAACCCTTTAGGCTGAATGGCATTTTCCTGCTCCCTCACTGATCCTGAAGTGAAGGAAAGCTGCCACAGCTTTAATGGAAAGTACTGCGCAGTTAGGAGAAAATTGACTGCCCCCTATGTTGCTTTGCTGTCTGCTGGTTTATAAATTGTAATGCTTTTCATTTAAAAAAAAAAAGAAAAAAAAGTGTCAGGTCTCTGTGGATCCCAGATCATTAGCAGGATCAATTCCTCTTTCACTGCAGAGATCAGAGGCTACAGTCTTGCATAGCCAGTCCCTCAGCTGCTGACGTGCCAAGCAAACAATGCAGAAGCAGAAGAGCTGGTGTGTGGCTGCCTGAATTGCTATGCCTGGAGTTTTGTTGTGATAGAAAATTCTTCCCTCAGTTTGGAGCCTGTGAAATGAATTCAGTCCCTTGCAGGATTGGGTCAGAACAGTTTCATCAGCTCCAGTACTAGAAATGTTAAATCCCTTAACTTGGGGCTTGCAACGGAATAGATTTTTCAGTTGCTACAGGAAGTTGATAATAGGATATGAAACTTGCACCTCTGAAGGAAGGAGGGTGGTAATAATTTGAAATGGTTGCCATCTGAAGATGTGTGCTCTGGTGCTGGTGTCAAAGAAGTTTGGTGTGACTCAGTCCAGTTCCACAGCCCCAGCCCACTGCCACTGCTAACATGATTTGCAGCCCAACTGGAGGTGCCAGTAGATACATCTGAGAGCCAAATGTATTGAACAGACTGAATTTACTTCTTAGTCATGGATGTGGTTGAGTCACAAGCTTGTGTGTTCTCAGTAAACACTGTAACTGTTCTGTGAATAAATAGAAGAACCCGATTTACAGAGGGTATGTACATCATAAGATGCCATTCTTCTGCTATGACTAGTGTGGCTGTGAGCAGACCATTTAACCTTTCATCCCCTGCAGAATGGCATTGGTGGGGTTGTTAAAAATTGATGATAAATTGTTCTGTAATACTACATAGCATGAGGCATTCTCAGCTCTTTGCTTTCCCTCTCTAGGGTGGATTCATGCGGTTTATACTCCAGTAGATTCTCTGGTGTTTGGTGGAAATATCCTGCATAGCTTTAATGTTCCCATGCAGCTTCGCATCTATGAAATTGAGGACAGAACAAGGGTAAGGATACTTGATTCTCTTTTTAACTGAACAGTTCTTTGTGACTATGGTCTGTCATAGTCTCTCTCTCTCGTATTCCCTTCTGACAAACAAGAACTGATGGGATCTCTGTGTCAGAGTCGCTGAAACAAGAGGTAAATGTGAAGTAATGAGACTTTCAAATGTTGACTATTTTTAGTGGGATTTACTCATCTGTTTTTCCCTGCTTCCCACAGACGTGTCCCTTCTGTGTCTTTTGTCTGCCTGTTAAACCTTCATAAACACCTTCCCTTTTGCACAAAAACATATTGCACTTCACAGACCTTTGTACCAACACTGCTGGTCACCCCCTGCTTGTCATCCCTCTGTGCACTCCTGGAGTGGATACCCGAGCCTGGAGAACTGATGGGACTGGGGTGGCTCTGGTGTCCACAGCTGAGTTGACAAAGCTGCACAGAAGTTGCATATGAAACGATGTCTTCTGTACTTTGAGGATTTTCTTCTACAATGACTTGATAACGTGCAAGAATTTCTTGGAACAAAGAGTCTAGGATGGGACATTGTGACAGGACAAGAGGGAACGACCTTAAGTTGCACCAGGGGAGGTTTAGGTTGGATATTAGGAAAAAATTCTTCCTTTAAAGGGTTGTCAAGTATTGGAACAGGTTGCCCAGGGCAGTGGTGGAGTCCCCATCCCTGGAGGGATTTAAAGGACGTGTAGATGTGGTATGTGGGGACAGGCTTTAGTGGTGACCTTGGCAATGCTGGGTTGACGGTTGGACTAGATGATTGTAACGGTCTTTTCCAACCAAACTGTTCTGTGATTAATCTGAATGTTGTGATGTTCATCTGGCTGTAGCATCTACCTTATGGAAAGAGTATTATCTCTTGGAGGAGGTTACTGTGCCGCCTCTTTGGGAGTGAAAATTTTACTCTTGATAATAAACAGGACACCTACTTGTCATATACTTTGCAGTTTCATCAAGTAGCAGAATCTGAAGGAAATGCCACTGTCTTAGGCTAATAAATAAACTGCGTGAGGCAGTTGTGTTCTGATGCAAAGATGGACCAGTGTGGTGTGTAAATTCATGTGAGGACTTTCGTGGCTGGCTGTTTTGGAGGCATTGCACATGAGACAGTGCTGGTAAACCACTGGCACAGGTACCACGTGTGGTTTTCAGAGATTTGGGCTGGCAAAATGGCAGGAATTTGCAATTCTTCTTCACTAAAATGTCTTAAAATGGTGTGTCTTGGGCATCAGTGCAGTTCACTGTTGTCACCTCTACAAGAGCCACAATTCTGGCTCCAAGTGGGATTTTACCCCCTGTTGCTTGCTTTGCAGTGAGAGTACATAGGCCTGAAGTGAATATGTATTGTTTTGAAATACATCTCTGACTGGGTGAGAGGAAGGGTGTCCTCCCTCAGCTTCCCCTACTTCATGGGGGATACAAGGCCTGGTAATCTTCACACTGCGAAACAGTGGTGGGAGCTGTTGGTTTCCTGGAGTGATCTTAATGAAGAGAAGGAATATTAAGCAGAAAAATGAATTTTTAGTGGAAGAGAGATGAAGACAAAAGCTGAAATTCAGGGGAATTAGAGGGAATGTAGCACAGAGCAGAAGTGGAGGTAGAGACCAGAGTGGAGTTTAGCTTGGCTTTGAGTAGGTGTCCCAAGGCAAGATTGTCACGTGTCTTAAGAAAGTGTGAAGGGACTTGGACAGGAAAAAGTGAGGATGGCAGAAGAAGGAAGGGGCTCACTGTGGCTGGGCAGAGATCCTAGGCACAGGAAGGTTTTCAGAGTGACTGTAGGTAAGAACCAGCTCTATGTACTGGATGTATATGCTGCTGGTGCTCACGGGGAGGGCGTACAGTTGCCAGGAAGGATGCCAGCGCAGGCAACTTCCATGGAGAAGTAATGTCTGGGAGGAAGGATTGGTGCCAGGAAAAAGCTATTTCCATTGGTGTCTGTGAGGAAGATGGGAGGGAAACCCTCTTTCTCCTAAAGCAGTAGAAGAGCTGACACTTTGTTCCCACAGGACGTGAGCGACCCAAGATCACACACCTTGGGTTGTAACCACTCAGTAGCACTTCTCGTCAGGCCCTTCTGACGTGGTGGCCCAAGGAAGTTGTGGCTGCTCCTCCCTGGAAGTGTTGAAGGCCAGGCTGGATGAGGCTTTGAGCAACCTGGTCTAGTGGAAGGTGTCCCTGCTGATGGCAGGGGGGTTGGGACTAGATGAGCTTTAAGGTCCCTTCCCACCCAAACCATTCTATGATTCTATGATTCTCCTTGGGAAGCTGGGTGCAGCTTCAATCTCCTAAGCTTTTACACCCCATAACAGTGATGTATTTTGGTAACTTTTAGCAACTTCCCAGCCAGTCACACTGAAATGCTTTTGAAAAGTTTCTGGCACCTTTGTCCTATGGGAAGGTTCTGGGAGTTGGAGATCTGCCTCTTTGGAAATGTCCTGTCAGAGTTTATTGGAAAGGGATATTGCGACATTTGAAAGTCCCAAATCAGACCTTTGCTCTTGTCAGTTTTGGTTTAGATTTTCTTCAAAGTCTGTGTAGGTCTTCATAATTTCCCCTCAAAAATACTTAAGTGCTTTAAAAAAAACAGACCAGTGAAAGCCAACAGCCCAGAATTTCCATGACTTCAGAGAAACCATCTCAGCACTTGTATGTTGCTGTGTGCTGGTGATGTGTCACATGCAGCCTGTACCTGTGTTCACAAACTTGTGCTCCTAGGCAGCCGTGTAATAACAAAGCTGTGTGAACAGCTGAAGAACAGCAAGAATTTCTAGACAGAAACAAAATATAAGCTGTGCAACTAAGGCATGCAGAAGTTTGATAAAAGGCAGGAAAATAAATTGTGTTATTTAGAAATAACAACACACAGCACCCCCTCCCCAACCTAAAAACATGCAGGGATCTTGCAGGGGTAAATGTTTTCAAAATAGAATTCTGGTGTGTACTTCTTTTGCTTTGCCAATCAAATTTTGTAATTTATTTGTTCAAATAATTCTATTCATAGGCTGGCCTAGTGTAGCAAACTCAGTACAGTGTGTAGCTCACACAAATTTCCCAGTGTGAACATACTGCAAATGAGTTTCTCATCAGTATTGATCTTTCCATTGTGTATAGCACAGAAGTAAATTACATGATGTGATTGACGAAGTAATTTGCCACACTCAAATCAAAGTGTAATACAGGTGTGTTTCCCCTCTTCATTTTGCACAGAGCAATTTGATGGAGGTTCCGCTGTGTTTAAACCTGCTCTGTAATGCTTAATCATCTTTGATTGCTGATACTCAAAGTCATTTTTATGCTAGGTGTAGTTGTTATTGTCTTAGCAGCCAAGACAAGAATAAATACATGGTTGAAACGGTAATGCTGATTTACAGCCTGATAAAATTGCCTAGTTTATATACTTGTCATGCTTATTCTAGCTTAATTTCTCATGTCCCTGGGAGACTTTTTAAGAGGGTTATAGCCATTTAAAAATAGTTTTAAGGAGTAATAAAAAACATGTCTATTGTTGGAAATGGCTCCTAATGTGCAATTGAGGTAAACAAATATTCTCCAGCCTTACAGTTTGTAGAGACTCTCATTTTGCAGCCTGGCTTTCCTAGAGGCCAATTAACAGCTAGTCAAATAGGCCAAGCTGTTGAGCTCTCTGCTAGACCAGCTTGAGGAACTTCAGAGCAGGCTGCCGTGCAGAGATTCATGGTGTTGGCACAGGGGTGTTACAGCTCTGTGTTCCTGAAGAGGAAGAATGTGTCAAACTTACTCCCAACTCATCTAAATTTAACTGTGTTAAAATGTTTGAACATGGATAGAGACAAAAGCACTCGAAATATATACGTAAGGTGGTCACTCACAGATGATGGTGTTTGCTACTGATTTTGTTTTCTGGAATGTTGGATAGTGTTTTAAGTGGATAGATTAATGATTTTGTAAATAATCATAAATTGGTTTTCAATATTGTGATTAGATTGATTAAACACAAGTGGAGTTTGTAATGATTTTAATGGACATTGTGGGAGAGACTTAAGACTTTCTTAAGGGAACTGTTTGCCTGACTTGCTTAGGGTTTGGGTTTTTTTTTGTTTTGGAGGGGGATGTAAGTCTCTAAAATAATTTGACTTTGAAGAAATGGATCATATTCCAGAGAGGATTTTTCTTGCTGTACAGGAATAATTAAAAAATTTATTCAGTGGATTGTAAATTATTAATCATAGAAGTTAGAGCTGGAAATGCCTATTAGATGATCTAGTGTATTTCCCTGCTGGTGGGGGACTTAGTCCTCTGGCAGTGTGTCCCTATCAGATATTCATCACAGAACACTTTAAATTTCTTTCTTTCTTTCATCCCTCCCCTCCTCCTCCTAAGTGTACGATGGAAAAAGGATGGACATGTCCATAATGCAGTTCACATCCATTATAAGTAATAAATGTCCAAGGATATCATAAAGAACATACTCCTCTATACTTCTCCATAGGGCAAAGTTTAAACGATCTTTAAAGCGCTGTTAGACCTGCTTTACTGGCAAAAGGCACTGCAGAGCTTTGCTCGGCGTCTCTTGCTACGTGTGGTAGCTCTTACTTCTGAAGGTTTGTAAAAACAGAGCCTTCTTGGGCAAACAGTGAATTACAGAGGCATGGAGGGATTTGCTGTGGGTTGGAACATTGATAGTGAGGCAATTAGGAACTCAAATTGAATATTAAAGATTGATATACATAATGGGAGCACTGCATGCATTACTGCCTTGTCTTTCACATTGAATTAACATTGGTAACAACTAAATTTGGTGAAGCTCAGAATCTGTCAACAAATGTTGAGCAATGATGTCTTTAATATTCCCAGGCATGTGGCTGAAAACCTTTTGAAGGCTGAGGGGTGGAAGGCGGCTTCCTGTTTGTAAGTCAATTCTTTGCAAATTTTGTTTCCTGCAGTGCTCTCTTGGAAAAATTTGAGTTCCTTTATTAGCATATATTTTAGCATGGCTAATTTCCCCTGTGTTCCCTAACAGTGATAAGTGACTCGGTCTCTTCTTTATAACAAATAACTAAACCAAAGGAAAAATTATTCTCCAATGCAAAAAGGCCCTGGGGTTAAATGTTCTCACATTTAGGGGGATGTTGTTTGGGGGTTTTAGTTTGTTTGTTTGTTTTTTCTTCTATTTTTTGGTGTGTGTGCTTTGTAACAAACAACCCAGGGAAACACTGGCAAAGGTGCAGCGTTGCTGGATGCATGACCCATAGCAACGTGCAGCTCAGATTTGCCAGCTACGCTCGTGTTGGATTTAAGAGATGTTAACTTTTGGGAATTGCCATGGAGTATTTCCATCCTACACTGTGATACATTGAGTGGGACAATACAGTATATTTTCCCTTTGTTACATGTTGTTTTACTGCTATAAGTCTTTGCATTTCCTGTGTCCTGGGAACGGAGACAAGTTCTAGGACTGTCCACCTTGGGGACAGTTTTCAAATATGGGCATTCTAGTAAGTCATTGGTGTGCTCAATGCTTGTATCACCACGCAGATGTTCCGACAGTGCCTTCTTTCCAGAACTGAATCTGAGTTTCCAGGTGCTGGATTAGTGGCTCTGTTTAGATCTCACTTTTTTGGCTGATCTGGGATGGGGTTGTGTTTTGGTTTTGTCTTTTAAAAAGGGCTTTCTAAGATAATGCTCCTTTCTGGTGCAGTCCAGCTTTTCATTAAAGGTGGGTAGACACCTCTTGGCTAGGTGAGCAGTTAATATGCACAGGATATCCTAAAGCAATTCCTGTAATCCCAGTGCAATGCATGCAAGCCTGCAAAATGCAAATTTCTGTGCCACGGGGAGAAGGAAGCGTACAGTGTAAGTACAAGTGCATGCAAGACACATGGCATCCATTTTTAACACATCACAATAAATATACACATGCTCTTGCATTTTCTTCTTTGGTGTAGTGACTTCCCATAGATAGAAAACTATGTTGGAAAGGAAGGAAACCCACTTTGTTTTCTTTTGGATCTGAAATAATCTCACTAATACATAGTGCTGGAGAAGAAGTTTTTTGTGTGAGAACAACAGGTCTAAGATGTAAGAAAAAGTGCACAGCTTGACAGGATCTTTTGTCAAAATCCTGCTTTTCTCTTCTGTTTGTGGCAAAAGCTAACTTGCTATCAAAATAGTAATTGTAAAACACATCAGGGATTTTTGTTTTTAATGTGTAGTTATCAGTAATCAAGAATTTGTGTGATCATTTGTTTAATCAAATCGTTGTGAAGACCATCATTGAAAAAGATGTATTTCCTGCTGGACTCATTTTAGGTAATGCTGCCATTTTGATAGAAATCAAGTGATAGTGTTTAGGAAATAAATGCAAAAAAAAATCACCTTTATTTTAACTTGAATTTTAGTGACTAACATCTGTATGTGACCACCCTATGTTTATACAGTAGGTAAATAATACTGTCGGGGCCATCCATCAGTTTCATGATTTCACAAGAACACAAACCCTTTCCTCTCCCACCACCCCAAGAGGATACAAATTAGTGAACCAAGAAATGATGCTCTCATGGCAGGCAGGCAGGCTCCTCATTTGGTATGCTGCAGGCGTACGTCTCGCTCGGCTCCCACCCTCTCTCCCCTCCCCCTCCTGCATACTGTTTGTGCTCTTGATAACATGATGAGAATGATGACTGGCCCTTGTGCTGCAAACTTCTCTCCCTTCCCCATGGACTGACAGTCTCGATCTTGCTTTCAGGTGCATGCCAAATTCCGGTATCCGTTCTACTATGAAATGTGCTGGTATGTTCTGGAGAGATACGTGTCCTGTGTGACCCAGCGCTGCCACCTCAGCAAAGAGTACCAGAAAGAATCAATGTTAATTGGTGAGTGAATCCTTTGAGTGCGTATTCAGAACTGATGTTTCCACCTTAGGCTAGTTACTGCTTTGGTTTCTGCAAAGCAGATGATAAATTGAATTGGAGAACTGTAGAAAAATTCTAATCAACTTTCTTTATTTTGGGATGGGGAAAGTTTTGACTCTTAAGCATTTCCATGAAGTACCAACCTACTTCAAATTGTATTTATTGAGCATTCCCTTAGGAAATGCATCCTAGGAAAATAATTTTTGGGTGCGTTTGTTCCTTGGTTTCAGTAATGTTTGTGTTGAGGTGATCTGCCAAGCAGTTGAGAATTTACTGCCGTGTTTGGCACAGTACCTTAGTAGCCAGAAATGTGTGCACTGCAAACGTGCTCTGCTGGGATGGGTATTTAGTCCTTTTATAGAGCAGCTCCTCTGCAGAATGTGTTACAGTCACTAAACCTGGCTTCTTCCTCTTCTCTTTTCTTTCATCTCCACTTTAATTCTCCCTTTGGTGACTGATTTCTAGTTCAGCAGAATAACAAAACCAAGAAAACACCTACACAAATCTATATGATCTATAACCAAAGTGCAGGGAGGTCAAAGAAACCTTTACACCAGTAGCTGAAAATGGACCGTAGCATCGCCTCGATAGATGTGCCTGAGCGGGAAGACATTCCCTTGGCACTGGTGTGAGCTTTACATCCATGTGTGACAATTCCAGTTGTTGCCTTGCTGAACTGCCTTCTTTTTCCTCCCTTTAATGGAACAAGATGCTGGGCCATATTTCCTCCCTGCTTTTAAGCACAGAATGGCTGAAAGTAGCACAAGCACCAACAAAATCTTAACTGATACATGTGAGGTGTGGAGGAGAACTAAAGTATTTCTGTGCCTTCTGCTCCCTGAGATGCCAATTGGAGTGAACCTGGCACGGCGGGAACTGCCCCAGGTTCTGGACAGAGGAGGGAAATTATCACCTACTAGCATAATTCTTAGTAGAAGGGATTTAAGAAGTTAAGGGCAGAGTTTTACTGACCAAGAATAACTTGAGGAGCTAATAGTCTGTGTAGATAGACAAGGGAATATTCTTGGAATCCGTAGGAATTTGAGTGCTTTACATCTTGTGTCTCTTCTTTGCTCTGTGAGACCCTGATCAGAAGGGTTAGTTAAGCTGGAAAAGTGTGTGGAGGAATTTTTCTCTTTATATAAGACCAGCCCAGAGGAAAGGATGAATTAGCCCCTTGGATCAGCTCTTCAAAAAGCAGTGACAAAACTCTGATAACTGCATTCCTTGGAAAATAAGGAACAATCTCCTGTTGTCTAAACCACTGGCATGGAAAGAGGCTCATCCTGCAGGCAGGGTGGGTGTGCTGGATCTCTGGGGTGTAATTCCAGAACAAATTAGTTGTGGAGAGTGGATGGTTCAGGATACTGAGACTGGGGCCTTTTTCAGTTAAAGCACCAGGGTGAATTCTGTCCCAGCTCAGTTATTCCTGATAACAGTTTGGTGATCCCCACCAAATGTGCCTCAGACCAGTTACTACCTGAGAGATACTCCAGTCATATCAAAACTAAATGGTAACCGTAGATGTCCACTGTCTAGAGGGAAAAGGATTGTTTGGCATGACCCAAGAGTGCCAACTGCAAAGGCATCAGGAAAAGGAGCCAGGCTATTTGGAAAATGGTTTGATAGCAATATTGTCTGGGCCTTGTTTGTCTCCTCTGGTGGCTTCACTTGTTGGCCTACTGGAAAGTGAATTTTAAACTGTTTTGCCTGTTGTTTGAGCGTGGTCCTCTGGTCATTTCAAGCTACTGTGAGAAATGTGCTGCTATCACAAGACTATTCTGTTTTGTGAACTCTAGAGATTGTGTGGCTGCCCTGTGAGCTGAATCAGTTCAGTGATGGGACTGAAAGCTGACCATGCTGAAAAATGAATATATGTGGTACCAGTAGGATTGATCAGCTGATCTGGGCTGCAGCCCTACCTGTGGCTGCAGGTGCTGAGTCGAGGTAGGTGCTGGGAGTGTCTGGCTGGGCCCATCTCCAGCTGTTGTTACTGTCTCGAATGGATCAGTACTTTCAGCTTACCAAAGTGGTATCTACTGACAGCGTGTAGTTCCTCCACCTGCCTGCTATCTCTTGACTGCAGAGTATTAGCGTGCTGATAAAATCTCTGACATCGACATTCGGGGCCTTTTCTCTCCAGGAGAGACAGATTTTTTTTATTTTTTTATTTTTCTCAGAAACTTGCTTTTTATTTCTTGGCAGAATCTTAACCTTAAAATAATTATTTAACTGAGGACTGTGGTTCAAAAGCCCAGATCTACTATATCTACTGGATCTTTCACTCTGGCATTTGTAAAATTCAGCAGGGTGAAGGTACATTATTTACCTTTACAAAGCTGTGATGCTTTGTTCTGCATGAGTAATACTGTTTCAAATACTTGCTTGTCTTGTCTTTTAACTGGTCTCAGTGTCCAGCCTCTTGACTTAAATAAATCTCTACAAGCTGTAATCCTTGAATTATACCTGCTGTGGGATAGGAGATCCAAATGAGGTCAGTGTTCCAAAAACCCCACTGCTTTGTTTTCAAGCTTTTCTTCAGAACTGGTAAGGTCCTTAAATTGTCTCTTCCTTAGAGACTTCTCTATCTGCAAGCAATTTCTTGATTTCCCATGAGAGAGTATCCCTTGACGAAGAATTACCCATTATTCTCCTTAAAGAGTAGTGAAATGAAGTACTTAACTTCTCTGCAGATCCCTCACTAGATTTAATTGTCTTCTGTCCTTTTTGGTTTAAGAAAAAATTATTCACATCTTTGTATTCATTTTCAGAAATTTCTCTTGAATAGTCTTAATGTTTCTCCTATTTTTTAAAAATAATTTCCTTGTCATAGTTTGTTCTAAATGTCTACTTTCTACCTCTCCTCTTGGGTGCTAGAACTTGCTGCTTTTCACCCTTGAGTTGTGCTGCTTTCTTTTCTTATATGCCTTCTGATACCATGGTCTTACAGGATCTCAGAAGCTAAGAAGCAACAGTTGATGGTTAGTTGAGGAGGATGTTCACCAGAGAGAGCACAGGGTGCTGCCCGTGGTCTCTGCGATTCACAGGGTGGAAGTTTTCATAGAATTCCCACAGAATCACAGAATTGTAGAGAACCTGTTCTCCTGCTGGAAAAAAAAAAGAGATTACTGTGGTGATAGAGAAAATCTTTGGAGAACACAGAAAGCAGAGTTCAGCAGCAATTTTATTTTAAGGGTATCTTTAGAGAACACAGAAAGCAGAGTTCAGCAGCAATTTTAAGAGTATCTTTAGACTTCATACTATATTTTCATTACATTGTATTTCTTTGCTTTGCCATGAAGGTTGCTAAATTCAGAGTGACTCTTTCAAGACATTGCCTGCTCGTGAAGTTATATTGCTGTGGTTGTGTTGCGATACCTCTGTCCTGATAGTTGTGTGCTGGTACAGCAACTTACATCGCTTTGTATTTCTGTTTTCTAAATGTCCTGACTTGCAAAAACTTAAGATAGGAAAAAAAAACCCAACCAACCAAACCTCAGTGTAGGCAAGGCTAAAACCTGGAGTGATCCCACTCTCTAAATAAAAATATCCTCCCTTCTAAATGAGTTGGAAGATGATGACTGTGGTTTCCTTTCCCATTCTTCAGGTCCAGGTTGCGTTTTCAGGCAGTTGCCTCCTAGTTAGTGTGTGAGACCTTTCTTTTTCAGCAAGCACTCGTGGGAATGATGACGTGACAGCAATCACAGCTGCTGTAAAAGAACACAATCTCTTTATCTCTCTTTTTTTATTTTCCTTGTCCCTCTCAACTGTGACATTTGTCCTACTGCCTGAAATCAGAAAGGGATCCTATTTGGGTTTCCTACTGGATTTGAACATGAACTGGTTTGGGATGGATGTCTTCATTATTTTACTCTTACCATGAATGAGTCTGTCCTGGATGTTTTCAACCACAATTGACCTTCAGTGAGATATGGATCTTGAGAATGAGCTGACAAAGAGTAATTGTGAGAAGATACTGGGCTATCAAAAACATGTTTTCTCTGTAGCCTGAAGCTTTTAAGATTCCCATTGCTAAAATTTTAACAGGTTGCCTCTAACTGTATGTTAAGCCTGATGGGTGAAGGAAATGTGCCCTCTGGCATGGTGAAAGAGCTGTGTCTTTTTTCTTTCTCTTTTCCTCCATCTTCTCAGGAGATAGAACAGATTTGCTTATGATAGACAGGTACTGGACTGTATTGAGTGATTTCTGTGTGGGGTGCTCCATGCAGTGATACATTTCCAGTATGCTCAGGTTTTGAGGTTCTTTTTGTTGTTGTTGTTTGGGGTTTTGGTTTGCTTTTCTGCTAATGGCAATGTCATTGCTGTCTTTAGCAGACCAATAGGAACTGCTGCTCCTAAGTCCCAGTGTCAGGGTTTGGAGCTGGGAATGGTGAGGTAGATATTACACACTGGACTGTCCTTAAGAGTTTAGAAAGATTTTATAATTATACCTCACCCCCTTCCCTTTCTTTTAAGTTCTGTAATACTGCAAGTAGCTTTTCAGCAAGGAAAGAAACAGCATCTAATTATCCTTCTTGTACAGGTGGATAACTGTGGGGAAAGTTATGTGATTTGCCCAGAACCACAGGGAAGTGAACTGCTATAGGAAAAAAAGGTATTTCTACCTCTTTGTCCTGTGATTGAGGCTGTGCTGCTCCTCCTCTTCACTGAGTTACGTCACTGACTGGTTCGTATAAGCTGGTTTAATTTGCTTTGAGATGGAGAGGAGTGGAGATCTTTTTGTATGAAGTCTCATGGGTGCCCAGACTGGATAACCACTCTGAAACTGGAGTTCTAACCTGGTGTTGGCTGGTGCATTGACTCAGCAAAAGAAACTACAGTTGCACTTAGCAGGAGCTCTCTTCCATGGAGAGACTTCATAAACCAGAAACCTCCAGGTCTGTGGAACCCTGGTAACACAGTGCTTAAAATGCAGTTCTTTACGAAGTAAATGCAGATTGTGCTTCTGCAGGGCCTCAGCTCACAGCGTAGTAACTCTGTCAGATACTGTTTTCATTAAAATGAATACATAAAATTCATGGCATATTGCAACAAAACACTTGCTAACACAACATTGAACTTTTCTCACCTTGAAGTTATCCTTCCATTATTGATTCCCACCTCCATTCCCTGCTCTCCCTCTCTTTCTTCAGGCCTTATCTATGCTTGGGATTTGCCCCAGTTACACCATTAGTTCCTGTTCAGCCCAGCCACAGCATAGGAGGACAGAAACATCGTTTTCTTTGTGCAGATTTATACCAGTTTCTGTTAATGACACTGTACTGGTAGCACAGGGACGTGTATCTGCCTTTACCTTCTTCTGTTTTATCACTGGCATCTTCTCCCATCTAGACTGAGCTTTTGTGCTTCAGTCTATTGTGAAATAGCTCACCAAGGTGCTGTGGCTTAGAGAAGGGGCTCCAGCCATGGATCCAAGAGCTTAGATTCTGATTCCTGATTTTGCCCTACATTTAATATGTGACAATGAACAAATCGTGCTTTCTCCCAAGCATCTGTTTCCTCAGCTGTAAAATGGGAGAATGACATATAGCCCTCTGAGCTGGGAAAGTGTGCTAACTACTGTGGACAAAGGGAAGAACAGTGTTAAATAAAAGTTGGATAACCTAGTGGTTTTTAAATGTTCTGGTTAAGATATTTTCGAAGCCTGTTTATTTTTCTAAGAGAAGCCTGGGGGTGTATTAGCACAGACCAGAGAGGAGCAGCTGCTTTGGAGTGTTGCATGCCACCACCTCAGCACACAAAATAAACTGTGCTTGCTTCTTCCTGGTGAAGCTTTTTTGGAGGCACGCAGGGAGGAAGTTAGCCTACACTGTGGATGGAGCTGGATTTGGCTGTGACCAGCCTTGCTGGTATTTTTTGTGACTGCTGTATTTTCAGAGGCATTTCAGCTCAAATGTTCCTTTCAGGAGTAATTTTGTAGCCGTTTTGGTTCTGAGGAAAAATGCTAATTTATGACTGAAGGAGCAGACTGGACAGAGCTGCTTGATTTTTGCCAGTGTTGTAGCAACAGCACATTTGCCCTGAGAAGTACAAACTGGCCAGCTCGTATCTCTTGGGCACTAACACACAGAGGTGCACCTGGCCTTAGGGTTCTTATTTGAAACTGCAAAGCTAAGCAGCTTGATGAGCTGTCCTGGGACAGCGATTCTGCCGCTGCCTGTTGCATCTTCGTTACCCAGCTGACAAGTGACACGTATATTTTGCAAGAGGATGGTATCGAGTATGTGAGAGATAAGGAGCTTCTCTCTTGTAAGGATGATTTTACCAGCTTGCAACTGGGCTTTAGTGTTTTTGAAGCTCACTGTTAAACAACGGGATGCTGAGCTTTTTCTTTAATGTCCATTTAATCCTTCCTTGAGCATGATTCACATTGTCCTAATCAAAAGCTACTGCCTGGCAAAGCACGAAAGCTGTGAAAGGAACTTTTCATTAATTGTTCGCTCACTTTTTCTCTATGACTTCTGTTTCCTTTGCAGAATGGTTTTGTTTGCAGCTTGATCTCTTACCCATTTCAGAGACTATTAAAATTCACATTGATTTAACTGGGTGTAGCCAGTGCTAAGTCTGTTTTCCACAGATTTTTCTGCTGTTGCTAGCCTGCATTCAATGTTGTTCACTTAGGAAAGGAAATTGTGTCTAATAAATAAGAAAAGATGAGTGCTTTGGGGAACCTTGGCCACTAGTTTCCTACATTGCTTTCAACGCTTGATTGCACGGAGTTGGGTAACAGTTGGAATTTTTAGGGAGAAACCTAGTACAAAACTAAGATTAATAGTTCTTTAGACTCAGAAACTTGCCCTTAAATTTCCCTGAGAAGTACCTAGAATGTATCAGGGATGGCATTAAGAAAAACACTATCATGTAACTCTGTGGAAGTCCCTGCATTTCTCAGCATGTTTAGACTCTTGTATGTAAAATAAGCATAATTGCAATCCCCTGTCTCAGAAGAGCAATGAGTGTTCATGAAGTAATAAGTGATGATCCTTGTTTTACCAACAGTTCCTCACAAAGAGGCAGAGTATTGAGAAGTTGATTTTGTGCTGTGCTGAGTTCACGGAAGAATGATGATGTACAGCATTTTAACGTGCTTCCTCCCATCGTTTTTCCCTCTCATCCTTCTGTGCTAACTCTCCTCTTAAAGCTGTAAGGCTGCCGAGTCTGGTCTCTTTCGGATTTGCAGGAAAATTAATTGTGTGTGACTTAAGAGCTCTGCCTACTCTTAATTGAAGTCATAGAGAACTGAGGCTTTGAAGAAAGCATAATTTTTCCCTAAATGTTTCCCAGACATTTGAACTGAGTAGATGTTAATGAAAAACAGCATTAAAACAAACAACCAACCAACCCCCCCAAATTAAAAATCAGCTGAATAGAGCCCATTCCTGTCACATACTTACTAGGCATTATCCAGTGCCCTTTTCAACAGGCAGTGCTTAGCCCCAGTGGCAGAGAAGTGTTTCAACTTGGAATTACATTGGGTAAAATTTCAGCATTCTTTTTCTAACTTTCAGATGCAAAAAGAAAACGCAGCACAGACAGCTATTCATCAGATTCGTGGTTAGACATGGATGAAGAATCTTGTGATGCCCATATCCAGGAGGAGAAGGATGACAGCTTGGATAAGAACTCCAAATCCTTGGTGGATGGTTCCTCCTCACCCAACAGCACACACTCAGAAGGGAAGGAGAGTGCGGGAAGGAAACAAAAAGCCACAGTAATGAGATACCTAAAAAGAACTTTGTCTAATGAGTCAGATGACAGCGTAAAATCAACGACCCCCACGGACTATCCCAAAACACCAACGGGGTCTCCAGCTACAGAAGTGTCAGCCAAATGGACTCACCTCACAGAATTTGAACTGAAGGGTTTAAAAGCCTTGGTGGAAAAGCTTGAATCTCTCCCAGAGAACAAGAAGTGTGTTCCAGAAGGCATCGAAGATCCACAGGCTCTCCTAGAGGACATGAAGGTGGGTGTGATAGCTCGCTGATCCATACAAACTGTGTTCTGTGAGCATAGAAGACAGCAGGAGATCAGAAAGCAAAGTTCTACAGCAGGAGGATGGCAGCTTGTGTGTAGTGACCAGCTCATACCAGCTTGCTCTGCCAAGAGAGGGAAATTGTACCTCTAACAAAGTCATCTTCGCTCTGGGGAGGCGGTTGTTTGCAGTCTGATTTAATTGATGCAGTCCTTCCTGACTGTTGCAGCAGTGGCCAAAAGCTTAGATACTCTCACAGTTCAGCACTTGTTAGGTCCTGTGTGTAAATATTATCCCTCAAAAAGTCTTTTTATATTTATAGTCTTAATCTGCCCTTTTTGGTCTAGTGTCTTTCTGAAGTATATCTGATTAACTGACACATACCAAATGGAAATACTTGATTGTAATTCAGCAGAGAGATTCTCTAACATTTCCAGTTGCTTTTTTTTTCCTTTCACCTTTTTCATTTTCTTTTCCTCCATTGCCCTCTATAGGTTGATAATTATTCTCCACTGGTAATACACTGTTCTTGGAGATGGTGTGAGGAGTGAATGCTCACTGGTGCCAGAACTTCTCTTTAGGTTTTTAGTATACTGGAAACAGTATTCCATCTGACTTAGAGATAAATTCCTCCTGAAACCAGCATGGCCTTGCTGTTTCTAGTCCCAGCCCTGCCTCTGATCCATGGCATCCCTTTGGACTACTTGATTAGCTTTTCTGTATCTTGTTTTCACACTGTATAAAGTGAGCATGGTTTTTTGGGGGGTTTTTGGGGTTTTTTTTTAACAACATTGAAACATTGAGAGCACCACACTCTTGTAATTTTGCTGGGACTTGTCCAATAAGGCTGATTCTGTGTGTATATTTTTCAGCCTGTCCTGCACAGGTCCAGCACCAGGGCAGTTTGGCCTGATTTGGAGCTATGAGTATCAATCAGTGGTCTTGTGTTTGCACTGCTAGTTTTGTGTACAGTGTGGTTCTTCAGCTACGTGTGTTCTATACACAAGAGCTGTATAAGCCACAAACTGAGGGCAAAAAAAAAGTGTTTATATGGTAAAAGGGGAGCCTGTACTTTTTTAGTTCAAGTAGTGTAACAGCTGCTTAGAAAAGCCTTCAAAGCCAGTTAAAGAAGGCTGAACATATGCAGAGTGCAGTGGAACCACGTTCCTCAATCTTGGAGCCTGGAAGTGTGATACATGGCACTCATTTTGGTAAACTGCAAGAGCTCAGAAAGTCTCTTCTTGCAAAATCAGCTACTTTGTGTATGAAAGTGGATGCACGGGCCCAAAGTTGTGGCTGTAGATTCACTGACTTGCTTTGTGATCAGCCCTCTTCTAATCAGAAATCAAAACAAAGTTTCAAGGCCAGGAGCTGAATTTGTGGTGAAGGAGAAAGAATGGGACCCTGTTAGTTTCCCAAGCTTCCAAGTTTCACTTCAAAATAAACTACCCTTTCTTGAAATCCCAGAAAGTGGTACAACATGTGATAAATGGTGCAGATGTTCAGAATACGACCGTGCACGCTCTCTTGATGACAAACTCCAGCGCACTGTGAGGCATCTTACTAGAACACGGCAAGATCCCATATGTGAGCCTGGTTTAAAGCACCGTGTAGGAGTACATGTTTTCTTATTCCTCTCCAGTGGATTCACTAGTTACAGAGGTGGAGAGCTGCAAATGGACATTTTAGACAAATACCCAAGCTGTGCCCTTTTTGGTGATGCTGTATTTTAACTGGTGTTAAGTGGGCATCTGCCAGGTTATTTTGTGCACCTTGCAGAGTTACAGTCTTGATGTTCCACATCCTTCAATAACTGCCTGCTTCTAAACTTGCTCTCCTTGCCAGCACACACTGTAACCATCAGGATGTAGCCTAACATCTGGATATTTATGGTTCCCTGCTGGTTAAAGAGCCCATGACCACATCTAAACATTGTGCATACTGCAGAATTGTTTTCTCTGGAATCACCTCTGTGTGTCTGGGGAGCCTGTGACTGATTAGTCAGAGCAGGACCTTTTGAAAGGATGTTAACGCAAACGTTTTCTTGGACAGTGTCTAATGAACTGTTCAAGAACTTCCTTATCAATCTTTCTTACAATATTGGCCCACATATAAGGCAGCCCCTCAATTTTCAGAGAATGGGAGTCAATACAGCGTAGTAAATTAATTAAACCCTACAGAGTCTGCTTCCTCCATAGCTCTCCCTACAGCTGTGGAATCCCTTGCTGGGTGCTCTGAAGGAATCAGGGCACTCAGGGGGAGTTGTGCTCACATCAGTGGTTGCTTGAGTACTCTTCCTCTCAAGCCAGGAGTGCAGCCCAGCACTGCCAACACAAACCACCCTTCCCTTTGCTCATCAGCAAATTCTGAGGCAGCCACTGACAAAGTGGGTCCCGTTCCCATCTCCTTCTGGGACACTGGATGCAACAACCCATTGCTCCTTTGTGCCTCCGTGTTCATTGACGTGGTAGAGAACAGTGCAGCGAAGCCAAAGCATCCTGCCTCCTTGTAACCCGTGTCGTACCAAAGCATGAAGTTTGTCTTATAGTTTGTTGTCTTTAAAAAGAAAAAAAATCAGAAACAAGTATATCAGTGCATGTTGAGGGCTTCTGCCTTCAAAGGATAGAGCCTGCTGCTGGAAAAGTTGCCAAGTGACTGATTTCAGCCCCTTGAGCATACACCCAGCATCATGGTCCTCGCAGGACGCAGGACCCGTGTGTTGCTTGGTGCACAGAACGTGGTTGTTCAGTGTTTTGTTCCCTCCTTGCTCCTCAGTGTTCGTTAGATACGTCAGACCCTTGTCTGAACACAGGGGTATGAATGTTCTCTTGGGCTTCCCAGTGATCCTCATCACTACCCTAGTGATGTGCTTCACACATAGTAAGCGATGAGTTGTTGTTATCTCTGGTTCACAGGTAGGGAACTAAGGTGCAAAGAGATTAAAATAGAAGTGACCATAATTTTGGATACTGGTTTTATGATTTTCAGAAAAGTTAGTGTTATTTAAGAATGATATGTGCAAAGGATAATTGTAATGGGTATTGAAACTGTAATTGCTTAGCAGTTCTGTAAAGCAGAAGTTCTAGTTTTTAGCATCCAGATCCCAGGCCAGGTGTGAGGAAGAGTGGGAACATACAACTCCTGACTGCCTGTGGAAACTTGATTTAAGAGATTTGCCCTGTGTCACATAGGGACATAATGGCAGAAGAAGAAACACAGTCCATTTTTTCCAGAACTATATTTATCTCCTTGACCACTAAATCATATTCCTTCTTACTTAGCCACTAGTTTTCTAACTTGTGCAGAAAATAACGTGGGGATTTTGCTGGTAGCACTAGCAGTAGAGTGAGCAGGAGCCTGGCACCTCTACCTCACCCGGATGAACATCCAGAGCACCAGTCATCTGTGTGACTAAATGGAGGCAGAAATCCTGCAGAAGTCACTGTGCAGCTCGTACGTGCTGTGGCTGTATTGGGCTGTATTCACAAGGTTTATTTCATAGCAACCTGACTTTTGGGCATGTGATTTATTAATAATACAGCCTATAAAAAGTACCCTTTGGTGTACCCATTTGAGAGTTTATTTTTAAAAAATGCATAGCAAGAACATGCTCTGACAGAAAGTCTGAAAGCTCTTGCTGTGCTTGGAAAGTCTTAAACAAGTTTCTTCCTGAAGAAAATAAATCCATGTTTATTGTAGCAGTTTTATTTCTTAATGAAATACACTCAGGAACTTTTCTCTATGACATTCAAGTCTGTCTTTGTGCTTCAGTAAAATAATTAATGTTTTCAGAAAACAGGATATGGGTAGTTAAAACTGGAGAAAGGAAACCATTTCATTTAGTGATGTGAAGTTTCACAGAACAAATTTCAGTAACTTGCAGAGGCATGTGAAATGGAGAAGCCACACAATGAAACTCGGAATTCCAACTTGCAGAGAATCCGTGCTTTCCCATCTGAGCAAGAACACAGTGAAGAATGGGCGACTGGATTACTGCTCTTAGTGGTAAATGCAACTACAGCTCTATACACCTATTTAATGTCGAGTAGGTGAGGCTCTTTGAAGTAAAGTAATTTATTTTCCTTATGAGAGGGGAGACTGCAAACTAAACTAAGCCTGTATAAATTCCTTACATGTCATCTAAGCTCCTAACTAACTGCGACTATCTAGTGGGGACAAAGCAATCCAGAAGTGTCAGGCTAATGCCTCTGCAGATTGAGAACTCGTTTATCACCGTGATCGATGGAGTGCAGCAACACAAGGGAGGCTTATTTGCAGAGCATAATACGGGCCTCACTTGGGGAGTGGGTCAGTTCTTCACTTAGCTCAAGCAGGGAATTGAATTCTAGGTAGCTACAGCTTTGCTGTACGGGCACTGTATCGCATGAGACCTGTGGTCACCACCAAAGGAGCTTCTTGGAGGCCTCCAAACAGCCATTCCTGACAGCAGTGTTCACCCCATAGCAGATGGCGTCTGAACAATTGACCGAGGAGATGCAGCACTCTCTGGATCCAAATGTCTGTGACTGGGCTCTGTGTGAGCTGTTTGTGCAGCAAATGTGAGGGGAAACTGTTGTCCAGATAAACATACCCTCCCTGAGAGCGCTCAGCTGACCCAGGCTGCAGAAGGACAGAAGGCTTGGCACTGTGGCTGTTGGCAGGATCAGCGGCCAGAAGACACTGCAGCCGTTGCCACCACATCCTTGGTGTTGGTGTTACTGTTGGAGGCACACCAGCCTGCAGTCATACCTTGTGTTCCATATATACATGCCCTGAAATTAAATATGAAACAGTGTAACAACTCCTGCTCCCAATTTAAAAATCAAGTAGCAGCTGGACTGTTAGAAAAGTACCCACACTGATGAGGAAGAGGAGGAGGAAAAAAATCACTGAGAAGTCATTTTACTTAGATTATGGCCTTTGGGATTGGAAGAGTTTCATTGTGTGGCTTCTCCACTTCATATTTAGCTACCAAATAGTATGTCAGCCTACTAAAGGTGCAACTGCTGTGGACTTATGCTTGGAGAAGAGCACAGAGAGGTAAAATCTTACTCCTTGGTGTAGTTTGCATCCCACATCACAGGGCAGGTAAAGCAGAGCAGACCTTTGATTGTGACAATCTGCATCCCACATTAAACACTCTGCCAGTGATCCTAGTCTGTCTGCAGCCTCTGATTTCAGCACACAACATTTCTGTTGTGTTACCAGCAGGATGGTAATTCTTTTCCTGCTGCTGGGGAAGAGGATTGTGAGATCTGCCTCGTAATAATGCCACAGACCTCCCCCACTTCAAAGCAAAAATGCTGCTGCTCTTCAGAAGGGACTGTGGAAGTCCATTAGGGCAGAAGAAACTCAGTTTGAAGAAAAGAGTTTGTCAAATATCTACAGCTCCTTGGCAGCAGGAGAGGATTCTTGTGCAAGACAGATGATATCTACTGAAATATGTTCTTACTTTTTCTTGCCAAGAAATCTTACCCCCTTCTCGTTCTGATGACAGGAAAAAAACTCCCTCAATGCATTTCAGGGGAGTCATTCCTTGCTGTGCTTTTGAAATTAATGGCTAAGCTGAATTCTTACATACTTAATCAGTTTCTTCCCTTCATACCTGCTGTTGTCACCACAGCCTTCAAGTATAATGAATCAGGCAGCCTTGTGCTGGATGAACATCACGTTGTTTCTCTAACTGGAGCCCCATGGCTTTTCTTTATCTTTTAAATTTTTTTTTTTCTCCAAGCAGGTGAACAAAAGTCTGATTCCTCCAGCCTGCTGTGACACTTGACACTACAGTCAGGGCAAACGTGGCTTGGTTATGGTTCTGCTGCTCAGACATCCATTGTTTTCAGGTGGTTGAGGTGATAAACGGCCATAGTTTCACATTTCTTCTTGGGTAATATTTTCACGTGATACATATGATAACAAGAAACCTTCATTATCTTGCCAACTTCTTGGAAAACACTCTGCTTTCTATTGAACTCAAAGTCTCTGATAGTCATTAGTGGAAATGTTAAGGTTTTCTGTCTTATAAGCTTTCAAATCAAAGAGTAGCAAAGTAAAGAGGGATTAATTTGTCCTTTGTTTACACGGTTCTCAAGCTGCCACCTTGTTCTGTAGAATTTTGGCTTTGCTATGAGAACACAAAAGACATCTCAGTTTTTAGGATTAAAAACTAACTGTAAATGTAGTCACAGTTCAGTTAGTGCAGTGATCACTCTCTCAAAATATAAAGGACCTGAGAAAAGAGGTAGTTGTTTAACCTCAGCTCAGCCAAGAGTTAATTTGCCAATGACCAGTCTGTAGGTAAAAGTTGTTGGCTGTTCACTCAAGAGTGTTCAGCTGAAGGTAACACAACAGGCTCCACATCAGAGTCAGGCTGGGACAAGCTGTGTTTGACTCCTGACCAGCCAGGCTGTGCCTGTGCAAGCTCCTGAGTGCAGCCACAGTGCTGGGCTGGCAGAACTGGGCTTGTACTGGTATTGCGCATCCTGGTCGTTGCCGATGATTTTGGACTAACTAGTATCAAGAGCAGCCGTACTGGTATCTGAAGTGGCAGCACTGTGCTGGTGCTGTAGCATCTATTAGTAAAGCATCTCTCATTTAAGCACAGGCTGGGGAATTGAACTGAATCCAGCAGGTTGCCTGAGCTCCAGGGACAGAGAACCAGCCCCAGGGACACTCATCCAAACCCTAGTTTAGATGCTAGTCTGCCTGCTTGGGCTCTTGGGGCCTGGAATGTGCTGTCATCATACTCCTGGCTTCAGCTGGATGATTACAGATTAATTCAAAGTGCACTTCCTATTAAAACAATTACAGTATTTTAAGGTTTTTTTGTATAGTGTGTGAAATTTCTAATTATTAAAGCTCTGCACTGGGGACTAAGAGAGCCTGGTGCTATTGTTGTCTAATTAAGCTTTTTTCAAGAAGTCAGTATGCTTGGGAACAACACCGTTGAACTTCATTGTCTGAGGTTATCTCCTAAATTCTATTACGAGGTAATTTCCAACCTGCAGTTCTTGTTCGTTTTATTGGAGCATTTTTTCCCTCTTAACTTGTTAGTGCTTATTTGGGCTTCGCTTTTCAGCAGCACAGCACAATCCTCCTTCTGACTTGGGGTTTTTTTTTTTGTTTTAATTTACTGTCTTTTTCAGCTACCTGAACTCCAAATGAAGAGCTTTGTAGCTAGTAAGTACGTAGGGAGTCAAGGGAAGCAAGTGTGGACAATTCCCAGCTGCACAATTGAATACAGTTAGAAAGAATTCTTCCCCACCTTTGAGTTACGTGGTCATGGGAGTGATTCACAGCGGTAGCAGCAGTGTAAGCCAGTGCAATCCACTCGTGAAATTTCTAGGACAGTGCATCAAAGCAAAAGGATTTAGTGGGGGTGGAAGGGAGAGAAGACCAGTCTTTTTGCCTTAGTACTGATCCTTTCCTAGTGAACACTCAGGAACCTGAATGCCTTTTACCTGGTCTCATAACATCAACTAGATGACAACAGCTCTGGGCTGCCCATCAGCGTGGCAGGAAGGCCAGTGGCAATGAGGGTGCTCTTGAATTGCCACCTGCAAAAAGGTGAAAGGTTACACTATATATATATATATAAAATATATCTTGATTTACCCAAATGTTCAGGCATCTGAGGATTTCTCCAAAGTACCCACTCGATGCCCTGTGACTGCAGAAATAACGGAGGCAGAGCCTAGATGCTTCTCAGGTCTTTGATTAGGAGAGAAGGTGTTGGTTGTGGTGACTGGTGGGGCTGTTTGGGATTTAGTGAGCTGGAGTTTAAAGGGAGAGGTGGTACTGGTATTAGACTAATACCACTGGAAAAACACCAGTCTTCAGATACACTAATTTTCAAGAAGTCTGTAATATTTGAGGTTATTCATGGCTGATTTTGCTGTCTGTTTTGCAAGAAACTTCACGTCTTGGATCTTAGTGACAGGTGCAAGAGTTTCAGTGTGAATTGGAAGTTCAGAAGCAAAAGTAACTTGCAGAGATGTAACAAGTTACCAGAGATCTTGTCACTTTATCTTTCATCAGAGTGGAGTAGTGTCTTCTGTAAGTCTCTGTACTTTTTAGTTGGAGAAATATTTCTCTGGTTAATAAAGACTTTTTCATTTGCAACAGAACATACTGAAGGAACATGCTGATGATGACCAAAATCTTGCCATTTCGGGTGTCCCTGTTGTCAGCTGGCCCAAGAAGACCACAAAGGTAATGAGACACAGTTACTTACTAATTGTTGTTGTGCTCCGGCTTGGTGTTTGTTTATCTTTAATCTGACAGAGTGCTGGATATGATACTTTGGCAGCTGTTAAAATTTTTAACATGAAATATTATTTGTAATGGTTTTATGATTAGGAGTTGAAGCAGAACATAAAAGTGCCTCAGCAGGGACAAATTGTTAGTGGTTCAATTTAAAGATAATTTGTTAGGGCCTTACTTATCAGTATAAAACTTTGATATGTCTTGGTCATTTACTAGTCATGGTTAAATCTAAAAATGTTGATACAGTATTTTGTGTAAAATTAAATGATGTGTAGATCCTACAGTCTGGTCACTTCGTAAGCGCTCTCACCTGGATGACAGGATGCTTTTTCTCTTACAGTATGAGACCTCCTGAGTTCTCTGTGCAAGTGTTCCAGTGTAACTTTGAAGGGTAGTTTTCTGTCCCTGTATCTTCCTTCTTCTTCCTATACACAGGAGTAATTCTCTTCACTTTGCAGGAGAACTGGGAAGCTTGCTTCATTAATGCTTATAAAGAATTTGAAATAATTAGCTAGAGAATAATGTCAAAAAGCTGGATGTTATTTATAACAGTGGTGTGTTTACCACACTCCAGTTATTCAGCATGCTGTAAAAGCAGCTTTGCTTATTTAGAAGATGTCTCATCGCTTCTATTTTTACTTTCATTTTTCACTGAATTAGTTTTATAATACATAATTTCTTCAGAAAAGCTGAAAGGGTCAGTCAGCTTAAATCAGGCTTCTATCTGAAAATCTGTTGTTGATCATTGTAAATAGCTTTCAAATAATTAACCGAGTTAATTATTTTCCCTGTTCTCACTTTTTCTGCTGGTGCACTTGTCATGGCTTTTGCGTCTCATCGCTTGCAGCCACGAGAATTTGCTGTTTTCAAATGAGAAGTAGGAAACCATAAAGATCAAACTGCCAGAGGAGAGTGGGGCAGAATGAGCATATCACCTTCCTCCTTGGTTTCTTTTTGGTTTTAGCTGAGCACATTTCAGTTAAGTTGTATCTTGTTAAATACATATTTCCCTTTTAGATTGTAATAAATCCATGGGAATATGCTTTGTGTTTAAAATGTTTGTTTAAAAACAACAGTGGAAAACCTTGAGAGGAACAGGTGTGGGATTCTCTGCTCCACTTTGGTAGCTGCTGTTCATTTATCAGTGAAGTATTCTCTAGGCATTGATTAAAGCAAAATCTCTGTGACCAGAGGAAAACTACACCGTGAAACGTATAAAACAAACCTAAGAAACACCTGACTCTTGTGCTGTATCTTTTGAGCTTGTGGGAGAAGTGAGTGTTGAGGCTTTTATAAGCTTTGGCGTTTGTTAATGTTCTTGTTCGCTTTATTTTGGAGTCCTTGATAAATGGATCATTTCTTATGTTTTATTTCTGTGCATTGGCAACATAACTGTAACTGTAAAAGATTTGTATTTTGTGTGACTTAAATCTTATCCCTCTTTGCAAAATCCGTCTTGCTTGGCTGTAAGTTGGTTTTTTGTTGTTTTGGGTTTTTTTACTTCTGGTGCTTATTTTCCTTTAGCTTTTCTGAAAGCAAAAACTTTTAGAAGACAATGCTAAGGTACAATAACAAACAATGAGACGCATCCGCTAATAACAAATTAATTACAAATATGAGGAAAACTTCCATAGAAGGGTGTTAGATTGAAGTTTGGAAATCAAATAGAAATTAGTAACAGAAGAAATCCTTTCACCATTTTCTTCATATTTACTTTGCTTAATCTGTGATCAGTTTGTATTATGTCTCATGTTTTAGTTAAAAGGTACACATGCAGATATGGCTGAATATTTCCCAAGAGGAGTTTGTTGTTGCGCTTCTAACTGGCAAACGTCCCTGTCATCTTACATGTTACAGCTCTTGCCCTTGTGTGGGAACAGAGACCAAGTGAACAGGTTAGGAAGACACATCTTAGAGCTGAGCCTTTGAGTCCCAAATTAAAATGCGTTGGAAAGTCAATATCGTGGAGATTTGTATAAAGGCACTGTTAGTAGTTAAGCTGGGTTATTTCTCCTTTGTTCCCTGTAAGTCTTGATAATGAAATAGAAGATTTTACAGAGGAAAAAAAACCCTTAGGGAGGGGGAAACTCCCTTCAAAATTGGATTCTAGCTGGTAAAGCAAGTCTCCATGGCCAGAAGATTCCACAAATGTTGAGCACAAGGCAAGAGAGTAAAACCTACCAGTAATTTTGCTTTCTGTAATATTGCTCTTGTAGTATATAGGAGAAATGCCAAATACTTAACAGTGCCTTTCCTGAGAGACTGGTATTTGAAGGAAGTGGCAGATATGATACAGCATGATAGCAGCTATTGTGGGGCTGGTAAGAAGATGTTGTAGTTGGTATATCAGCTTCCAGGGAGAGAATTGTCCTGATTCCAAGACCATAAAGAAAAAGAAGGGAACTGAAATCCAGAAAGAGGAGGCAATAAATGGAAATAGTGGCACCTGCTTTCTCCCAAGAGAAGGCTCCAGAAGAGATTTAGAAAGACAAGAGCAGCAGATGGAGAAGGAAGAATAAAGCCAGCATTAAATGCCAAAACATTTCAAAGAGAATGGAAATTACTGTAAAGAAAGGAGAGGAAGAGACTAGAAATGTTGAGAGAGCAGGATGAGGAGGGAGGCAAGTACTGAAAATGGATGGAGCAGGAAACACATAGAGCACAGGGAGAGAACTCTTGCTGAAGTGAAAGATCCTTGGAGTGGGGACAGGGAATGACTTAAAATAACCCAAGTTGTGGAGGGGCAGGATTAGTTATGGTGACTTGCTCTTGAAAGAACATGCCTCTAATAATCTGAATGATTTTCTAAGCAGCAGATAATATTTCCCTTTAAAACTGAGTCACAGTTTCTTTCATGTGTTGCTAGTGTGACGTGCCAACTGTGTGTACAGTTCTGTACTGCAGAATTGTTGCTTGAAGACTGTGAAATTCTGGGGTTTAGGGAAGAAGCATGTTCACTCACCTTAAATCACAGCTCACAGTGGATAAGGTGTAATGGGCAAGACATTTAACTGAGTACGTGGAAGACCCATCCATGTGTTGTGGCCCCGTTGTGCTGCATCGCTCCTGTCTACCTTTTCTAAAGGCATTTGGGGCTGTCAGTTATACTGTCAAAAAAAATTACTTACTGAGAAAAGAAACAGAAGTAATGATCAAAAATGTTTTCATGAGGAGATAAAATAAATGGGTGACATCTGATGATCTTGTGGTGAATGTACAAAATGGGAGGCGAGGGTCTGTGTTCTGTTCCCAGCTCTGCTGCAGCCTCCTTGTGTTGTGTGAGGTGAATGGCACGTTTCTGTTCCCTGAGCTTTTCCGTGTGGAGATGCTGCTTCCTACCCTGGGAGTCTCTGAGGTGAAATTAAGGTTTATAAAGATCTGAGAGATCTTCAGCAGAAAGTTTTGTAGTAAAATGTATGAACCATTATTTTATGGTAATAGAGAAATGGTGTGTGATTCATAGGCACATCTTCCAGCTCATATTTACTCATCTTTATGATTTGTTGAGTCTCTTGTACTCTTTCTAATTTATTGATATTCTTTAGCACAATAATTACACTCCAGTAGGCTGGTTTTTTTCTTTTTCTTTTTTTTTTTTTTGCAAATGCTCTTTCAGAAGCAGCAAGAACCTGCCTTTTTCTTTCACCTATAGAGTAAAACAACCTATTTTCAAAAGAAGTCTCTGTCTGATAATGATTCATTTACCAAAATGTTTGACTTTGCCAGGGATCCTAGGGATATGTACAACAATCTTAATTTAGGCCTCTTCAAGGAATCAGGAATGTGGGACTGAGTGGATATTTGAAACCTGCTCATCCTGATGGCTGACTGACAGTTTAGGTACCTTCAGACTAAGCAGCACATTTTTCCCAGCTGGCTGCTGCGCCTGGATGCAGCTGTGGATGTGTAAACCCCATCCCCGTTCCTTTGTCGGGGGTTTGTGCCGCAGTAAGTTGTCCTTGCTCGGTGCTGAGTGTTATCTGTGGGGTTTTATCTGTGGAGGTACTCCATGGGGCATGCTGCCTCGAGAGTGTGGGGTCTCAGCTGACTGAAGAGGAGAAATAATCGAAGAAACTAATTCCTTCCCCATCCCTAGGACATGAACTTGTAGGTGGTTTGAGAAGAGAGCAAACCACCCAAACCACCACACACCTAAACCTGATTTTTCCACTGTGGCAACATGTTGCTAGTCACTGGTGCAGAAAGCTGACTGCTGTCCAGCCAGATCTGGAAGCCCACTCTCAAGATTTGCTCAGCCCTACAATGCCAGAGTTTCCATTTTATCTGCACAGGAATTAGGGGCAGCGTTTTATTTAAGGAACTCGGAGTATGGCCCAGGCAGAAAGACATGCATTTTTCAAACCATTTCCTATTTCTGGAAGACAACAGGCAACTATAGTAGCATATAATTACACTCAGTGGCAGTGCCTTCTGTTTTTATGGTGATAAAGATCTTTAGTTGTCTATGAAGAGCAGCTATAAAGGACTAAAATATGTTTGGACTCTCTTGTTCTGTGAAAAGTTAGAAATGCAGAGCGCGAGCCAGATTCTCATCTCTCTTACCTGGCACAAACCTAAAGCCACTGCATTTGTAATGAGAGCAAGTGTCCAAATATATATAGATCTGGCTGTGAGCAGGAGATGAAGCTGTAATTTTCAGTAGCTGGTTAACAATGCTGCAATATGTGGTTGTTTTTCTGATGCTCATTCATACGCTTTTTCTGTGTGTTTTACCTGTTGATTTTAAGAGAAGATACTTGAAAATATAATAAGGAAATGTTAACATCTTTATTTAAAGGAGTACTTTTAATTAATAGGCCACAAACTGAAATTTTAATTGGATTATGGAAGGTTTTTTTAAAAAAACCCAAACCTTCCCTGCAATTGGCAATGCAAATAATGTTCATAGCTATGTATCAGTGCATGAGAACCAGGAAGAAAAAGTGATCATAAAAAAAAAAGACATCTCAGGCTGAGTTTTTTTGCTGTTGTTTTTGGGTTGGAGGGTGGTGGTGGGTGGGCACAGGGTTGAAAGGGACCTTCTGGGGTTTTGACTCTTTCCTGTCACCGTGGGCAGCATCAGATTCCATTCATTAGTGAGTTCTGTCTTACAGCAGTTTATTTTTTACCCCATTATTTTTACTAGAAATCTCTTTGCAAAATTCTACAGATGCAGCCATGTATCTGAAAAGGAAGGATTCACTTGTAAGAACTGATCTGCCAGAGGCAGAGCCAAAGGCTGGTTGGTGTGATTGAGGAAGGGTTGAGCTGGTCAGACTCCGTTAGACCAGACAGCCCTGTGTCCTGTTTCTGATGGTGGCCAGGCACAGCTATTAAAAGAGTTGTAAGAACAAAGCAGGCGTTCCACGTCTTTCCTTTGCTTATCTTCCTAGTTAAGCTAGAAGATTGTATCTTCATCTTTTGTGTTTAGTGTCCCCTGGTAGGGTTTTTTTTCCCTTGTGAATTTACCTAATAAATTAAAGAACCTGTTGATCTTTTTGATCTCGGTAGCATCCCTGCAGTTTAATAAAGCTCTGTGTAGATAAGTACATCCTTTTGTTCTTTCAGATCTGTCCCTTAATATCATAAATACACTGTCATGCATTTTGAAAAAAACTGAATGAAGTTTCCTGTTCACTTTCTCTGTGCTGTGAAATTTATGTCCCTGTTACCGCTTCTCGGTCATCTCCCCCCGCCCCACTCCCAAGCTGAAAAAACACAAGCAAATTCAATCTTTTTGGGTACACATACCATAAGTTTGATCATCTTCTCACTGGCCTCTATTCTAGTTCCACTGTAGGTAGTTTTGAGATGAGGGTGCATATGGGACTCCACAACCACAGACTGTTTATTAAAGAGATTGTGATGGATACTCCATGCATCTGATGACTACTCAGGATTCAATGTTTGAGTGGGGACTAGAAGAACATGTCTTGTTCAGTGTGGCACAACAACATTGAAGGGGAAGGTGATTGTTGTGTAAGTACTTCAGGGAGTATAAACACCAGGGGAGGAGAAGAATTATTTAAGCTAATGGACAATGTTGGCATGAGAACAAGTGAGTATAAACACACCATAAATAGATTTAGGCTGGAAATAAGATTTCTGATTATTGGTCATAGTCTGAACTAAACAGCACACAAGAAAAACAGTAGACAACTGTCATGAAAAGGGTGTTAGATTCTTAGAAATAACATGTATTTTAAATAATAAGAGACAGCGGTATTAGTCACCCTCTCTAGATCTGGAGCCCGTAGAAGTCCTTGGGCACATTCATGTGTCTGCTGCCATTTTCCAGCAAGGAACCTTTTTCCCTTTTCATGGTACTTCACATTAAAAGTGCTAGAAAGGGAAGAAGATCTACCAGTTCTTAATAACACAGCTTCTTTATGTGTGCCTCAGAGTTTGTGAGTGTATGTGCAACATTGTGCACTGGATCAAACTTAAGAAGTAGTAAGTAAAGGGACTAAAAACCGGTGGACACAATAAATTTGATTGTATGCAGAAATGAGGGGGTAGCAGTGTAAATTAAAGTGTTTTCATAAACTTCAGCTTGAAAACAATGTGATTTTTTGGAAGTGTTGAGCACTGTTTTACATGAGGTTTTCTTTAAATTCAGGAGGAGAGGTGTTAGGTGGACAAAGAACATTCCTGAAAACCTTTGAATAAATACTTCCAGTTTTTACTTGCTTGCTTACTAAGAATTCCTACCATAGCTATCGCTAGGCCAGCTCCACCCATAGAAGCAAGAGCACTGAGGTACTCGTTACAGCAATTAGTGTTTTAACCAGAGTGGTGTCTGAAACAGATCTGAGCCTGTATAAATGGCACAACATCAAAACAGCATCAGTTTCAGGAGCCTGCCTGGGGGCTACCACCAGGAAAGCAACATTCCTCTTAATAGTACTGGGAAAACTCTGCCAAATTCCCTGAGACAGACCAGTCCTTGGAGATCCTCTCAGGGTGCTTCCTGTGGGGATATGAATGTATTGGAAAGCAAGTACTGACAATTAAAAACAAGCACTTAAGAATTAAAGTAAAAATTGAGTCCTCCTAGTGAAGGAAAATACCTGGGAAAGGGGGAAAAAGAAAATAGGCAGAAAAACAACAAAAAGAATTTGTGTAAATCGTTGTATGATGTGTTTTTCTAATTGAGATTCAAATAAGTTTGATGTCAGTCATTCCAAGTGGTGCAGGAGCAAAAAAAAAAGGGATTTAAACTGTCACATTTCATCCTCGCCAGGCAGCACTTTAAAGGTGTTTGAAGTGATCTCACACAGCACTGCCTGAACTCTGCTTGGTGTCAACAATTGGAAATGTCAATAGTCTGCAAGAAGATTTGCATATACAAATATGCACGTATTGTGAATCCTTTTTGTTGATAAAAAGTCCTGATTAGAAAGTTCATCATCTACTGTAAATCAGACATTTCTTGGTAGTTATCAGATGCTAATAATTAGTTTCTCTTCCAGAAAATATCTGAAGTACAAAGGCAAAGGAGGATTAAAATAAATTTAAATTTGTTTTTTTCTTTCCTGATTTAAATTGTGATTGGAATCAGTGATTTAAATAATTTTGAATACTTTCTGTTCTTTTCTGCTGTAGGGATAGTAGATGCCATGTGGTAGGAGAGAGCTGAAATTTATTCAGAAAGATATCCTGGTTCTGGCTCCTGACAAACCCATTAAGAAACAAAACCACATAGCTGAGGTTAGGGGGATTTTTTATTTATTTATATTTTTTAGGGGACTTCCCACAGTAGCTGTGTGCATACGAAACTAACCCCTCTCCCTGCTCACTGCACTTGGGAGCAGGAAAAAACCTGATGCACCAGAACCAGATGACTTCAGGTGCTGTGCAAAGGAGTAAGAGCTGCTGAAGCTATGGGGATGTTCTGTCAAGCATCTGCTTTCCTGGGGCTGTGCTGCTGAGGAAGGCAGCTCCTTGCCTGACTTGTTTATTTTTCTGAGCGCTGCTTCAGTCTCTTACAAACATTAGTCCTCAAGACAAATTCATTTCTGTGGTAACTCCACACAGGCCAGAGGAGTTTCAGGGTTTGGTGTACGTGTATCATACATAACGTGCCCAAAGAGCTTCACTGAGTATTGCCTCGGTATTTTTCTAAAAGCTTTGCCTGGTGACTTGACAGATTATTTCTCACCTCAAGAGGCTGTACTTGAAATATTGTGTCCCTTCAGGGAGTAATTATAAATAGCAAGGACTTGAATGAGCACCTTCTTAATCTTCCATCTTTGACTTAATATTTTCCCTTCTTATCAACTCTCAGCCACTTGCTTTGAAATCTGACCAATGGCTTTATGTGATTAATACATCAAACAGGTAAATTAGAGCCATTTTGACTCTTGAGTAGAAATTTGAACAGATTGGAGAAAATGAACAGGCATCT